TTACAGTCCCGTTAGAAGTCACATCCCAGATATGAATGTCAGTACTATGAGTGATCCAGTACGAAAGAAGACACAGGAATACGATGGGAAAGCACTGTGGGAAGCATATAGAGCACACTTTGAGCTACTGGCAAAAGATGAATGGATGGACAGAGGAGCAGAAAGCTCTGAATCTGTCCTTGTTCTGAGGAATAGTTTTTCAAAGTATGGATCAACAACTTTAATATAATTTGAAATATCCGTGATTCATATATTGGAGAAACGTTTAACAAAAGTACTCAATCGAGCGAGCTTTAACATATCTTTCTTTTATTGTTATGAACATCAGTATTGTTCATTATATATCATGAATTATATTTTGCACGTGCTTTGAAAGATAATTTTATTCCCAGCAGTGAAAGAACTGACACATGATGTCGACCTGTAATTGAGACAAGTCGGGTTTTTTAAAATATTTTATTAGTGATATTTTAGGGTATTGAAATTTATCAACTTTAAATAGAAATTCGTGTTTGAAAAATTACTAAGTAATATGTTTATTTTCATCAACAAAAATTCAGAAGTTTTAGAAAAGTAATCTTGTGGAAATTTGATGAAGCCACCCACGGAGCGTTGTTAGGGGTTAAAACATATCACGATTGCAATTAGAAATAATTGTATAGCCAGTTGGCTAATTTATTATTTATTTATCTAAACTGTTTGAATAGGAAATCCTGTAAAATTTAAGAGTAAGTTCTGTTCCACATGAAAATATGTCAAATATGTAAAGCAGAGAAAACCTGTAAATACGACTTAAATATTAGTATTACCCTTATCGGTGATAATAAAGCATGTTTTCATTACTTAATTATCAATTCATTAATCGATTAATTAACAGAATACCAGTGTGGTATTACTGCATTTTTGAAAAACAAACACAATAGTGATCGCGTGGTAGTATTTAATCAACATTGGCAAAACACTCACCAAGTAGGAACTTTCCAAAATTTGTAACAAAATAGTTTTTCGCAAAATGCGCAAATAGCAACCTGAAGAAGAGACTGCGAAGGTAACACCCACTTTTTATGCTCTTAAGAATAGTAGATGAATTGTATTAATAAATTAGCAAATACTACTAATTTCCCAGCTCTAGTGGGCGTTTACTTTTGGATTACTGGTAAAAATAATAAAACGTTTAACACCGTACTATGATGAATTAATTTGTTTATTTAATAAGTAAATAACGTTTTTCAAAGGCTACGTTTACTTATAGGGCTGACTTCAAATATAACTGTTCAAATAACGTTTAACATAACTTTCGGAAACTCACATATGCCTAACTCACAAATACAAAACTTGCAAAATTTCAGTCACAGATGCACTAACTCTCATTAAATCATTACAAACATCGAACTGAATATCTCATTGATTCACTGCATCACTTTATTGAATCATACAGTGAATAATTAACTAGCATTTATATAATTATTTTCTACTTATTATAGGAAGGTTCCGGTTCATGACGTAATAAATTATCCCGTCTAACAAACATTTATTGCAATACATATATATGTGTGTGTGTGTAATTTTAGAACACCATAATTCATTTCTAATACTGAACAATAAAAACAAAGATGTCAGTTAGGTAACTGTTAGTGACAGAATATTAAAATAGCCATCCTTTGTCAATATATATACTTAAGATGATTAGAATGCAGAATTTTTTGTTAGGATTTAAACTGTAATAATAATACCAAATAATCATGTAATATATATTTTGGGTGCAAAAACCAGTTTAAATTTTAATTTAGTTCAAATAATTGAACACTTTTTTGTTATTTTTTAACATGGTCAGGTCCCTCACCTATTCCTGAACCTCCCACTGGACCTGTTCCTTTAACCACAGTTAAGTCACCAGAAGAGGTCACAGGTATTAAATCTCCTGACCCAGAAACTTGGACAATCCCACTTGAGACCAGTAAAGACCTTGAATGGACTGATGGTCATATTCCTGGTAAAGAAAATAAAAATATTTAATGTCTTAAACAAAGTAGTGAGTTTATTCATATTTGGAACAGCCAAAAGTTATTAAATTATTTCATGACTTAAGTAATAAACACTTATGTTGACAAAATTTCACCTGAAGTAAAATGTTAACTAAAAGTAATGTATGTTGTCTCAGCATGCTCTACTTTATCTTACAGTTGATGGAAAGCGAAGCAAGTATCCTTCTGATTTTATAGTCAAAGCTGAAGTTTTCCCAGAAAATGGAGAACTTATAGAGTCAGGTGTAAGTAGATTGATTAAAATGTATTGCTAAAATTATGTAGGCTTGTCACATTGAGAATATTACAATCAATATTAGGATGTCTCTTGCAAATATATTTATATTTTCGTGAATAAAGAACATTCTATGTCTGATTAGTTTCTTTGGTATTATTTGTTATATTATTCATACAGGTTTAATTATTTTAAACCAAGTTTAACACCTGTGAATATTTCTGTCTGATTAGTTAAATTTATGTTATTGATTATAATGTGTATTATAGTTTTGGAATTTTTTTTCTCTAATGATGATTATTTTGCATTTTTGGCTTAGTGTATGGACTGAAGACTAATCTAAATATTCTAAGCAGACTAAACGTTTGGGTTTATGGCTTAAAATATCATCAATAGCAAGGGTTCTCAATGAAAGATTACAAATTTATTTTTTGTTAATAAGCAGTTCTTGTTATTTTATTAAATCAGACTGATTACATTTAATGAATAGTTATTGTAATTGTTGCAATCAAACTAAAGGCTCTAGGAATCTTGGACATTCTCATATAATAGATAATGTCCTGCTGGACACCAGGCACTGTCTTTTGAATTTTAGCAAATGGAGATCTGAACTTTTTGAAATCAGCTCTGATTTGCAGTAAGAACCCCTGTTGAGTCATGCCCTGTTCAACATATACACAGCTGATCTACTCAGTGCACTGGAAAACTCTTGAGTGATGCCATATATATATTGACCATATAATTGTTGCAAGCATATCACACACCAATGGAAGTAAAAGAGGGTTTGTAAGAAGCTAGCAAAAGCCTCTGTCAGTGGCTTTTACATAAAAAAAAATTTATTTAACCAAATAAGCCTGTTGGATGTAGATTACCAGATCTCACCCTCACACAAACAGAAGGGTTCCATATAAGAACTCTGTCATTTTTCTGGGTGCTATGGTGGATTGCAGATTGACAATATATTAATCATCTGAGACAGGAATCAAGAGTCTTATTCTTTTCAAATATTCTGCAGCTCAGAAGTTGCAGCAAAGGAGCCTTATTAAGCTAATGAGAGCAATATTCATGACCAGAATGGACTTTGTAATCCACCTGTGTACATCAGCAGAGGAAATAGGGTGGAAGTAAAGCAAGCATGAAAGTATATAAGAAGGACATATGTTATCAAATCAAATTCAGTTCAGTAATATGTTTAAAATAACATTGAGGTGGTTATTGATGGAAGAAGAGCCTGTGCCAAGGTTGATGCAGAACTCACTAAACATTTTAAAATAGTTTTAGAAGTAATATTGTTAAATTCATCTTATTTACATTGGGTATCTGGTATTAAAAGTAATAATAATAATAAGTTATATAGCAAATGTTTTTGTTACGGCCAGTTCTCTTCCTGTTGTTGGTGATTTGTAATTATGGACTTCAAAATGCTACCTGCACTGCTTACTGACAAACATGTTACAACATGACTCCACAGTTGGAGGGAAGAGACCCTGTCCACGTCAACTTATGTTTGGTCAGAATGTCTTAATAATTGTAACAAACAAAAATTTGAAATTTTGTTTTTACTTTTATTTATCAGACACTTTAAGATTGAAGTGTTTTTAATTTCTAGGACCATGCTTATACTTTAATAAATATAATCAGCAAACAGTGATCATGGTAAGGCATAACTGTCAATCTGGATATATAAAATGACACCTTAAAGAAAGTCATGTAATAACATCTACCAAGATACCTGCTTAAACTCTATAATAATAATTACAGTTAATAATAAGTAGTCTTAATTATATGTAACACACAAGCTACTAAAAGATTCTATGAGCACTCTGCCCTTGGTCATTGGGTACCCTCATTGCGAGCATTGTTCTCAACCTTTAACCCAAAAATACCTAATGAGGTTGGGTTTGCTTAATGAAATTATCAAGCATAAGCAGAATTGTTTTGTCACATATAAAGTTTCATATACCTCTCCATCATATCTGGCAGGGTAACTATTAATATTGAGAAGTTTAATGTTATATATTAAATGTAACTAATGTTGTTATGTTCCAACTCTAGAAATCTAGTTTGTTACTTAGAATAATATCTAAAGTATAACATTAAAAATGTAGTTTCATTTCATAGTCCACAATTTAGAGCTTTATTTCTTAAGTTCCTCATTTCTGCTGTTATTATACTATTTGCAAAAATAATGAAGAATTATCTAATAGTTTTTTGATATATTTCATACTTGCACAGTGTGTTTCTGTAGTAGATTGGTGTTGTATTGGGAGGTTTATTTAAATTTTTTTTAATAATTTCTATTTAACAGGTTTAGGATTCAACTGAGATCCCTCATTCAGTGTCCGAGATGAACACCTAGTATGCATCATTAATAATGACATAGTTAATGCACATTGTAGGATAGACATTTCCTGAAGCAAAAGCTTGTGATGCTCAAGGTTTTCTGGCCTTCCCTCTAATCCTTCTTGTCAATCTTTGTGTCTGTAGGTTACGTTACCATTAATTATTGTCATTATTATTTATATCTATGTTTACATTACTGATAATTATTCTCATCATACTTTATGTCTAAGGGTTACATTATCACTAATTCTTCTCATCATTCTTTATTCTGTAGGTTGCATTACCACTAATTCTTTTCATTAATCTTTATGTCTATAGGTTACATTACCACTAATCCTTCTCATCATTCTTTAGATTACACTACCACTAATTCTTCTCATCCTTCTATATGTCTGTAGAATACATTATCACTGTAGTTGTGGGCAAAGCTTACAATAATTGTTGAGGCTTAGATTTGCTGTTTTGTTATTTTGTAATGTTTACTAAATGTTTATTATTTATCATTTTGTACTGTAAACAGTATTTAGCTATGAGTGGTTTTTCAGTGCAAGTTTTTATAAAACATGATATATTCTTGTAATGCTTATTAGAACTCTGGCTGTGCATTAAGTATGTGTAGATATGTAAATATGTCTATAAATGACCTTTTTTTATATTTTTTTTAATTCTGTGATAATATAACTACAGCTTTTAAAGTGTGACCTACATTTTCATTTTGTGATTTCAAGTTTATTTTTCAAAACAAAGTTTGAACCTAAGGTAGATTTAGATAAAATCTTGCTGATTATTCAATTAATTTATATATTTTGGAATTAGCATCACAAGTTTACTTATATATCAGTAAGATGGTGGAAAATAATCTTATAGTTACCAGGGTGTGTTATAATAGCATTCTGATGTAAAGATGGCCAACTGGCAGCCCACAAGCCAAACCTGGCCCTCAGAGGTATTTTATCTAGCCCCTGATTTTATTTTTAAAATCATTTTTTATTTTGGCAAAACAAAAACAGAAAATGAAACTTTGACCAAGCAAACCAGTCCCATGATGTTTCTAAGAACTTTCTTCAAATGTTAACTCAACATTCAAATCCATACAATTAACTGAGAGTCTGTAGTGGGTGGACAGTAGAAATTTAAATTAAGAAAATGTTCTAAACACACTTTACCCAGTCATATAGTTTTAATTCCCAGTCTAGGTAAGAATCTGGCCCAGGAGCATAAAAAAAATTGGTCATCCCTACTCTATTGTTATGCCTTAAGTCAAAAATTACTGTAACAAATGGTTACTTGTTGTTAGTTGAAGTCATTTGCAATCCATCTAGAGTAAATTGCATTAAGCTGATTCATCACAAAACTGTTTAGAATAATTAAGATATGCAAATTCTTTATTCTTCAATCATCTTAATATTTGTACTCTTGATAATATATGCAGAGATTACTATAAGGTAGTACTTGCACAAACAAATTGGGAACATTATCTATAGGTGTGTCATGTAATTATTTTAATAATACATATTTCCATTATTATTGAGATTGAACATGTCTTTTCAACCAACACATTTTCCACATAACATAATGTTTATCATCTTCCTATATCTCAGTTAATTTTTCTTCCCTTTTGCATATAAGTTTTTTTTTAAATATGCCAGCATAAGACAGTCATTCATTTATATTATTAAAACTGTGAATACAGTGATATGAATGTTTCAAAGATATCACTACACTGGTAATAAATTTGTAATAAGATGCCGAACAGTTAAGAAAATTGTATGAAAAGAACACAATATAAAACAAGTGTTTTAATGAAACTAACAATTAGTATTTTTGTTTTAATATTTTATTTGATGAATTAATTGTGTAGAAATTAACTAGGTAACCAGTTGGTAGCTTTGTTTCAGTTAATTGATATACAGAGGAGAGACTGCATTATAATTGTATGGTTAGAATACAGTAAATATCACTTAATTTTTAAAAATTTCAAAGCATTGTGTTTTTTATTCAACAAGTGTTTTATATCAGTGTTGTCAGCTTTTCAGCAGTTATGGAATATACCCTTTCTTACTGGCAGCCCACAGAATTTCTTGGAAATAGCAGTTGGTAATTGACCACTTCCTAAGCCTTGAGTTAACAGGCATAGAAAACAATTAAAATCACCAGTCATGACCAAACATGAAAAGGTTTTGAGAAAATTCTGTTATAATTCTTTTATAATATTTAGTCTTTAATTTTTATAAAGATGAAAAAGTATAGAATATTGATATCTTTAGGCACACAAGATTAATAAAGAATTAAAAGTAAGCTCACAGTTTCTTGTTCAATTTTTAATGAAGAGAAATTGTAGCTGAACTTTTTTTACTTTATAATTGAACAAAATCTGAAATTATGACCAAACATATTAAAATAAAGGAGAATATCTATGTCCACACTTGATAGCTGTAATAGATTTCATAATTTGTGTAACTAGATCATAAATAATCTAGAAAGTAGAAATAAGTACTTTTTATGTGTAGTGAATCAAGAACTAAGAATATTTATCCACTTTAGTTTTAGTTTTTTGGAATAACTTCTAATCATATTTATTTTTCAATTATGAAATAAGCTGCTGTAGTGTAATTTAGGATTTGCGAAAGGACATTTCTCACCTCACACCATTAACTTTTTCATTCCTTATAAATATGTAGGTGAGACCATAGCACCCTATTTAAAAAAAAAAAAAAAAACTGGCTTATTTAAGTGTAATACTCTTGTAGGTTTTTAAGCTCCTTTTAGTGCAGTTTTCACCTTTTGACTTGTAAGATATTTCTGGCAAATTAGTATTTGCCTGCAAATTCAATTTATGGACTATAGGTGCCCAAAGCAAGTACAATGGTAGTGGGTGTGATCCAGCATTCATTTTTGTTTTTCTCCAAATTTTTTGAATAGATATTTTTAAAAGCTGTAACTCACTTTCTAATTATAATACTAATGTCGATTTAGTTTTATGGTGATTTTATTTCTCTTAAATTAATGATCT